TTGGAGCCAGTTAGCATACTGAAGGAGTTACAATAAGATGAAGAGGAGTCTGTTGTTGTTGATGATGATGATGATCCACTTGCGTCTCGTATGGCGGAGCGAGTCTCAACGCCGGCGGCCAATTTCTGTTTTCGGGGCACATTGATTTTGAGTATCTGTAACAGATTAAGGGTCTTGTCCGGGCGGAGTGCAACAGATGTGTCCCCTCGATGCTTGCTTGGTCTCTACTGCATCGATTCGGGATTTTAAAAAGCACAGCGGTGGTGGACTCGGTGCCGGATTATATTATCGTAGTAGCACAAATAGTAGCTACTACACGTGTAGTATCTACGGGTCCCGCAATTTCAAGTGCCCCGCACTAAATGCTTTCAAGTGCCATCAATTCCGGTTCAGCGATTCTGCACTTGCTCTATTACTATCGTACTTTATGGTACTTTATGAACGACTGGGTGTTTAAGGATAGCGATTTGTCGTATTATCTGGCCGTATAGCTAATTAAACATGCAATTACTTTACTATGCAAGTAAAAAATGTGTTTTAATATTTTTGGGGTTTTTTAGGGCCCCTTTATAGCAACACATGCTACAGCCCCCGCACTAGCTTAGTCCGGCACTGGGCGGACTTGTAATTGTCGCTGATGTCGAGTAGGTAAAGAAATAGCATTGAGCGAGAGAGAGGGAGCCACCCGTTTGGCTGTGGCGTTACAGCGTGGCCGTGTGCTCGACACTGGAGTGCCGCGGGGCATGGCGGCAGCTTGGGGCGAGAGCGAGGATGTGTGATGGAGGCGGTCCGGATTGAGTGGCGACGGCTCAGGGGCGAATTGATGGCGAGATGATGGCGAGGTTTCGGATGAGAGTCGCCGAGGGAAGGAAACCCTCACACCGACCCTCCGAGTCACGGGGAGACGCTTTAGTCGCTGCGCACAATTAGTGCGCTCCTCTCTCCACTCTCTGGGACGCGCTCCTGTTTGCGCACTCGCACAAAGTCACGCCTTGAATCTCGCGCGCGCACCCAATGGCTCGCTCGCTGGAGACAAAACAACACGCGCTCCGACTTCAAACACAAAAACACCCCCCCGTAGAGCCTTAGCAGACTTGGTAGGGACAAGTGCTGTTCGCGAGTAGCACCTATGAAGGCCGGCACAGCACACGAGGAGGTGGCTGTAGCCAACACCACGCCAGGCCGCCTTTGTCTCCCCAGTGGCGATGTTTTTTACACAGTACCCGGTGCTCATTTGAGGCTGGGTCGACCTAGGGGAGGCCCAGGACTGGTTCAGATAATCGTCAACGACGTTGACAGTCAGCGGGTCGCCCGGGTTGGTAGCGCAGCGTGCTAAGCACTGCGCCACCGCTCCCCACAGTGACACTCACACGCGCGCGCACTCAATGGCCCACTCGCTCAAGACCTCGGTCGACCAGACGGACTGCTCACCCGCGCTGTTTAACCACTGCGGGTGACCACAACGCTCACCCACTCTCCCATCCGATCACCCGCCCATCCATCTCGTCAAATAATCTCTCTCACCCCATCCAATCACTCACCCGCTCGCCCATCCACTCGCCCATTCATTTGCTCGCTCACTCACTCACCTCGGGCATCCAACCACTCACCCATCCAGTCGCTGATCTGCTCACCCACCCACGCACGCACTCACTTATCGAGGCATCGAGTCACTCACGCACCCAACCCACTCGTAATCCGAGTCTCCATCGTAATTGAGGCCCCCATCCCCACCACCGAGTCGAGGCACGGAGGTCACGGGGCGGCCTCATTACAACCCAAAGCAAAACAACAACAACAATCACAGCCAGACGCAAGCGAGTCAACCAACAAGCACGCGCGGACAAACCAGCGCGGGATGCACGGAGGCGTCCCCAGGAGCCCGCGGCAGACACCACGGGGGGGGGGGGGGGGCGAGGAGGTCATCGGGCGACGCCGACATTTGGCACGAGAGCGCTTCCCCTTCGGCCCGACTCGTCAGTCGCACGGCCGTCACCGCCAGGGTTTCGCGCGTTTGAGCACTCCGATCAGCTCTTCCCCGGCGCGCGTTCCGCCACGATGTCCGACGTTTCGCTCCCACGTGCACCGAAGCCAACTCAATAAATAAAGCAAGCTCGTTTTGTTTTTCTACCATCGATTATAAAGTGGTGCTGGCGACTGCCGAGCGAGTTAGTGAGCGGGGTGAGTGAGCGGGGTGAGTGGGTGAGTGAGTGGTTGGGTGAGTGGGTGGGTGAGTGAATAAGTAGGTGGCTGGGTGAGTAAGTGGGTGAGTGAGTGGGTGTGTGGATGAGTGGGTGGGTGAGTGGATGGGTGAGTGGTTGAGTGAGCGGGGTGAGTGAGTGGGTGAGTGAGCGGGGTGAGTGGTTGGGTGGGTGAATAAGTAGGTGGCTGGGTGAGTAAGTGAGTGAGTGAGTGGTTGGGTGAGTAAGTGGGTGAGTGAGTGGTTGGGTTGGTGAGTGGATGGGTGAGTGGGTGAGTGAGCGGGTGGGTCAGTGGGTGGGTGAGTGGGTTGGCGAGTGGGTGGGTGGGTGAGTGGGTGGGTGAGTGAGTGGTTGGGTTGGCGAGTGGGTTGGTGAGTGGGTGGGTGAGTGGTTGGGTTGGTGAGTGGTTGGGTTGGTGAGTGGTTGGGTTGGTGAGTGAGTGGGTTGGTGAGTGGGTGGGTGAGTGGTTGTGTGGGTGAGTGGTTGGGTTGGTGAGTGGTTGGGTTGGTGAGTGGGTGGGTGAGTGGTTGGGTTGGTGAGTGGTTGGGTTGGTGAGTGGGTGGGTTGGTGAGTGGGTGGATGAGTGGTTGTGTGGGTGAGTGGTTGGGTTGGTGTTTGTGTGGGTGAGTGGTTGTGTGGATGAATGGGTGGGTGAGTGGGTGGGTGAGTGGTTGTGTGGATGAGTGGGTGGGTGCCAATGAGCAACAGCGGCGGTCATCAGGCAGCCCCGTACTGTGTATACTATCTATGGCAGAATTCGAGCGAAACCGAATCGGGCTCTTAGGCGAAGAAGCTGCAGGAGGCACGCGGTGTGAAGCGTCGGACAACGCTCCCAATGACAACGTGAGAGACGGCGGCACCACCACGGGTACTCGCATCGGAGAGGCCGAGACGCAGCGCGCAATGGCGCAGACGGAGTCCCCACCTCTACTTCCTCCACCACCTCCTCCTCCACCTCCTCCACCACCTCATCCTCCTCCACCTCCTCCACCTCATCCTCCTCCTCCACCTCCTCCACCTCATCCTCCTCCACCTCCTCCACCTCATCCTCCACCACCTCCTCCCCCACCACCTCCTCCTCCCCCACCTCCTCCCCCTCCTCCTCCTCCCCCACCTCCTCCAGCTCCCCCACCTCCTCCTCCCTCACCTCCTCCAGCTCCCCCTCCTCCTCCCCCACCTCCTCCAGCTCCCCCACCTCCTCCTCCCCCACCTCCTCCCCCACCACCTCCTCCTCCACCTCCTCCTCCCCCACCTCCTCCCCCACCTCCTCCCCCACCTCCTCCACCCCCACCTCCACCCCCACCTCCTCCTCCTCCACCACCCCCACCTCCTCCCCCACCACCTCCTCCACCACCTTCTCCCCCACCAAGTTGACGGACAGAGTTGCTGCTGCTGCTGTTGTTGTTGATGTTGTTGATGTTGTAAGGGATTCAGCGGCCCGGAACATATTTGAGCGTCCCGTGGTCACGCCACATTCACAGAGTCACCTCTCGACTCGAGCTGCTGGCTCCATTAGTCGCGTGCAACCCAATAGAATTTCCCGCTTACAAGCAATCCGGCACACAACGTCCAGGATACTCTCTCTTTCCCGTTGACGGCTGCGACGCTTTCGTCGATTCGTCACGGACCGTTAAACGTCTCGCGTCTCCCAGCGAACTGGGAAATATTCCGCGAGACATCAATCCTCCACACGCTGTCTTGTTGTTGTTGTGGTGGTGGTAGCGGTCTCTAACCGCAGTGCCACCCACCATCGACTCGCCTCTAGGGTCAACTCCACGACAACCAGGCTGGGTGCACTTCAATCGATCACGGCGGGGGATAAAATGGTAATCTTTAATCCCCTATCTGGCACCACGCGCATCGTTCTCCCAAGGTTTGACCGTCGATTAAAAAGGCGCCCCCCCACCCACCCGGCCTTGGGTCCGTTGGTCCAAAAGTCGTCGCGTGGGAACGGCGCGGGGTGCCGTTCCCCCTCGACGGCGGCGTGGGCCCTTGCCGACGAACGTCATCGCGCAGTCTGCAGGCAAGGCAAGGGGGTGATTGCGCGTCAGGCCCCGCTACGCAATGAACGGCAAGCCCAGGGTGGAACACTGCCTTGCGGAGAAACGCTGCATAATCGGTGGACACTTCTGAAAGGCGAACACTCGCCCACGGTGACAAGCTGCCCACGGTGGTGGAGCCCTTGCCGCGGGGGGCCACCGGTAGCATTCGCCTCCCCAGGTGGTGGTGGCCTCCCCAGGTGGTGGCCTCCCCAGGGGGTGGCGGCCTCCCCAGGTGGTGGCGGCCTCCCCAGGTGGTGGCGGCCTCCACAGGTGGTGGCGGCCTCCCCAGGTGGTGGCGGCCTCCCCAGGTGGTGGCGGCTTCCACAGGTGGTGGCGGCCTCCCCAGGTGGTGGCGGCCTCCCCAGGTGGTGGCGGCTTCCACAGGTGGTGGCGGCCTCCCCAGGTGGTGGCGGCCTCCCCAGGTGGTGGCGGCCTCCCCAGGTGGTGGCGGCTTCCACAGGTGGTGGCGGCCTCCCCAGGTGGTGGCGGCCTCCCCAGGTGGTGGCGGCCTCCACAGGTGGTGGCGGCCTCCACAGGTGGTGGTGGCCTCCACATGTGGTGGCCTCCCCAGGTGGTGGCCTCCCCAGGTGGTGGCGGCCTCCACAGGTGGTGGCGGCCTCCACAGGTGGTGGCGGCCTCCCCAAGGCCCCTGCGGCTGATCGTCTGCGCTGCGATGGCGACGGGGGTCTTGGGAAAGGTGGGAAGAGTCTGGCGCGTTCGCCAGAACGATTTGGCACTGCGTTGGCGTCGAGCAATGCAATCATCGTCGTCGTCATCATCATCATCGTCGTCGTTGTCGTCATCGTCATAGAAGTCATCATGCCCAGCCAGAGGGCTGTGTAGACTCACCCACATACTCTCCGTACGGACAGACGGACGCATGCACAAAGCGCACAAAGCGTGCGCACGTGTCAGGGAAGCGTTTCTGACTTTACTTTGTTGTTATTATCATCATCATAAATATATTACGCTTCTTTAGCTTGGAGAGCCTCGCTTGGGAGTCTCAACACTGCTTTTCAGGAGGGTCCTGCCACGTTTTCCCTTTTGCAGTCGTGGGGGTAGCGAGGCTGCTGATGCTGCTGCTGTGATCCCAATCGATAAATTGTTGTTCGGCCAATGCCGGTTGTCACGTTGTGTGAGAGCGTGTTTGTCCGCGTTTCACGGTTTTCTTTCTTTGAGCTTTGGTAGGAAACCGGAGACAGAACACACAAACTACGACACACACACACACAACGACTACACACACACACACACAACTACACACAAACTACACACACACACGCGACACACACACACGCGACACACACACACACGACACACACAACGACTACACACAACGACACACACACACGACACACACACACACACAGAGAGGCACCCCGGAGTCGGGAATCGAACCCATGGGGATCTTCGCTGTGAGGCAACAGGCGTGACGTCACCGCTGCCGCCCTGTTTGTTTCCTTTCGATAATCGGATTTAGTTCACAATTGTGTAAAGCTATGAGGCTTTCACGACTTCATAGCTCTCCGATTCGTATAATTTCAATTAGCGCTGACGGGAAATTGTCACAATTTGCTGGCACCAATCTGTGACGCGATCTCGCCCCCCCCCCCTTTCTAAACGCGACCGTTGTCTGCCGCTCGAGGCCGCGGGGCTCCTGATCCTCTGTCCGCGAATCGCCCTCCTCCCCCCCACCCGCGTCATTCTCTTTTGGAAGCGACGTCACAGAAGTGACGTCACTGCCCCGTGACGTCTTACATTTCGGACAACGTCCGAATATTTTGGGTTTTTTCTCCTTTCCGCTCCCTCCCTCCCGCACCCCCCCCCCAGAGAGCTGTCGTCCTGAAATTGCCAAAGCTTCACAATCCCCCCGTACCGCACAGAACGCACACACACGTACACACACGTACACACACACGTATACACGCACACACGCACACGCGTACACGCGCACACGCGCACACACGCACACACACACACGCATACACGCACGCGCGTATACAAAGACCCACCCCCCTGTATAGCCTTAGCAGACTGTAGGGGCAAGTGCTGTTAGCGAGTAGCAGAAGGCCGGCACGGCACACGAGGGGGTGGGTGGCCAGCACCGTGCCCGGCCGCCTTTGTCTCCCCAGTGGTGATGTTTACACACCGCACCAGGTACTCATTTGAGGCTGAGTCGACCTATTGGGAGGTCCAGGACCGGTTCAGATAATCGTCACCGGTGTTGGCCGTGGGCGGCAATCGAACTCGGGTGGCCGGGTTCGTAGCGCTAACCGCTATGCCACCGCTCCCCGCGTGAGCACGCACGCACGCACCGCCACAGCATAAGCAAATACACTAAGGTCCATTCATGGCTGGTGTCTGCTATTACTATTATTGTTGTTATTATTCGTAATTGTATTTGTACACTAAAGTTATCACCGGAGGGGGGAACAGACAAAAGATCTCGGCTCTTGACGGCGCGAGCTCCCATCACCCCTTAGTTTGGCGGTCCTGAGCCCAGCGGTGGAAAACTCCACAGTCTTATGGCAGGGATCAAGTCCTTCCGTGGGGGGACCGCCGTCCCAGCTTGACCAACCCACAAAGCGGTACACGCTTTAGCGACCCCCCCCCCCCCCACCGCGGAGGTGTCGGTGATTATTGGCCGGGATGGGTCGGTGGGAGGGGCGGTGTTTGAGTTTGCGACCTTCATTCTGTACGCGAGGCGACGGTTGGGGGTAGCAGGGGGGGCAGGGGAGTGGGGGGCCGGGTGGAACTCCGTGGTTGGAGCCGGACGTCCGGTGGGCTCGCAGAGCCACGCTCGGGGCGGCGCTCGGGGTGGTGCTCGGGGTGGTGCGGTCACTTGTCCCGTCAGCGTCTCGCTGCGTCGACTGGGCACGTCCACGTCCGTCCGTCCGTCCGTATGTCCGCTCGTCAGTGTGTCCGTCCGCGTGTCCATCGGCGTGTCCATCGGTGAGTCCGTGAGTCCGTCCGTGTGTCCATCGGTGTGTCCGTGAGTCCGTGAGTCCGTGTGCGACTCTCACTCTCTCAGATTCACGCTTCCTGTCCCCGTCTGCCTGTTTGTTCATCTGCCGATCCACGTGTCGATGTGGCTGTGCATCTCCCTCCCTCACGTCTTTTCGTATCATCTTTCTGTGCGTCCATCTATCTATCACGTTCAACCATCTATCCATCAATCCATCTACCTGTCCGTTTGTCCATCTCTCCCTCCGTCCATCTGTCTTTCATCAGTTTGATCATCTATTGCTTTCATACATTTATCATCTTGCTGTTGATCTGTCTGCCAATCTATTGCTCCCTTCCACCTCTCTGCCGATCTGTCTATCTATTGCTTCAATCCATTTGTCCTGTCCGTCCATCATTCTATCCCACCCGTCCGTCCATTTCTTTCATCCGTCCGTCCGTCCACACGTCCATCCGTCCGTCCACTCGTCCGTCGGTTTTCCCGCTCGTCCATTCGCCGCTCGCTTCCGTCCGTCTGCCGGTCGCTCCGTCGGTCGGACGGCGGGTCGCCGGGTCGGTCGACTCCGGAGGGAGCTAGCACCAGTCGTCCTCGTCCGTCTCGCTGCACGCCCGCTCGCCCCCCCTCCGCGCGCCGCCCCGCGGCCTCGCGCCCGGCGCGCCGGCGTGCCGCCGCGGCCGGTGGCCGTTGGGCAGCCGCGGCGGCCGGGGGCCGTGGGTCGCCCGCTCCGGGACGCCCCCCCCCATCGCCGCCTCCTCGTCCTCGTCCCCTCCCCCGCGCCGCCTCGCCGCCCGACGCACCGGCGCGTGGCCGTGCCCCGCCGGAGGCGAGCGCGGCCCCGGCGTCGCGGCGCCGGCGCCGCGGGTGAGGCTCAGGTAGGGGTCGGACGCGTGGTGGCGCGCCGGGCCGGTCGAGCCGCCGTGCCGGCCGCCGGGCGCCGAGGAACGGACTCCGCCTCCTCCTCCTCCTCTGCCGCCGCCGCCGGGAGCCCGGCGGCCGAACTCGTCGTCGCGCGGCGTCCTCGCGCGCTGTCGCTCGTGCGACGATCGCTTCGACCACGGCTCTTCTTCCTCCTCTTCCTCCTCCTCCTCCTCGCGCTCCCCTTCCTCCTCTTCATCCTCGTCGTCGTCGCCGCCGCCGCGCCGGTCCCCCGGCGTCATTCGGCCGCCCTCCCACTCGCGGCCCTCCAGCACCAGCGAGCACACGCGCTTGGCCGGCGCGGGACGGGAGCCGGCGGAGCGGCGCACCACGGACGCGGCGGAGACGGCGCCGGAGACGGCGCCGGAGACGGCGCCGGTTCCCGCGGCGGAGGGCGACGGCGGCCGCACGGGGGGCGAGGAGGAGCGGGTGCCGGGCCCGGAGCGGCCGGGGTGGAGCGGCGCCACCGCCCCCCCCGCCGCCGCTTGCTGCTGCTGCTGTTGGGGCGTGCGCGGGAGCTGGCGGCGCCGCGTGCGCAGGGGCGTGCCGCACACCGGCGTGCACGACTCCGACGGGTACCCGAGGCCCGGGCGCACAGGGCTGCTGCTGAGGGAGCGGCTGCCCTGTGAGGTGGGTGGGGGTGAGGACACGTGGTGGGCACAATCGGGGGGACACGTGGGGGACACGTGGGGACACGTGGGGGACACGCGGGGACAAGGGAGACACATGACCACGTGGGCTCAAACACAAAGACAACAAACAAATATCCCCCCCCCCAAATAGCCTGCACAGACTGTAGGGCAAGTGCTGTTAGCGAGTAGCAGAAGGCCGGCACGGCACACGAGGGGGTGGGTGGCCAGCACCGTGCCCGGCCGCCTTTGTCTCCCTAGTGGTGATGTTTACACACCGCACCAGGTACTCATTTGTGTCTGACTCAACCTAGGGGAGGTCCAGGACTGGTTCAGATGGTGTTGGCTGTGAGAGCGGGAATTGAACTCAGGTCTCCGGGTTCGTAGCGCAGTGCGCTGACCGTTACACTACCACTCCCCCACAAACACGCGTACACACGCGCATGCGCACGCACGTACGTACAGACACACACGCGTACACACGCGCATGCGCACGCACGTACGTACAGACACACACGTACACACGCGCATGCGCACGCACGTGCGTACAGACACACGTGTACACACGCGCATGCGCACGCACGTACGTACAGACACACACGCGTACACACGCGCATGCGCAAGCACGTACGTACAGGCACACGCGTAAATGCGCACGCACATACGTACAGACACACACGCGTACACACGCGCATGCGCACGCACGTACGCGCACGCACACATGCGCACACGCACTCACGCATACGTACGGCCTTGCGCGTGCCGGCCGGTGGGGCGTGCGTGCCCACGCCCCTGCGGGTGCGTGAGCGTGAGGCCGGGTCAGAGGCCTCGCCCAGGCGGCCCATCCTGGGGGAGCTCAGCTCCATCTGAGAGCCTGCGCAGCGGGGACACGCAGAGAGACATAGAGACAGTTAGAGACAGAGACACGTGGAGACATAGACACAGTCACAGAGACACAGACACGTGACACACAGAGACACAGACACAGTCACAGAGACACACAGAGACACACAGAGACACACAGAGACACAGACACGGTCACAGAGACACAGACACGGTGACACACAGAGACACGTGACACACGGTGACACAAAGAGACACAGACACGGTGACACACAGAGACACGTGACACACAGAGACACAGAGACAGTTACACACAGACACATGACACACAGAGACATAGACACACGGTGACACAGAGACACGTGACACACAGAGACAGAGACACAGACACGTGACACACAGAGACACGTGACACACAGTGACACAGACACGGTGACTCAGAGACACGTGACACACAGAGCCACGTGACACACAGAGACACGTGACACACAGACACAGACACGTGACACACAGAGACACGTGACACACAGAGACATAGACACGTGACACACAGAGACACGTGACACACAGAGACACGTGACACAAAGACATAGACACGTGACACAGAGAGATAGACACGGTGACACAGAGGGGAAGTGGTAACAATGTAAAGCTCTTTGTCAATCCACTGCTGGATGAAGCCCTCCCCGAGCCATCTTTGGTCATGGGAGGGCTCCGTAGAGACGGCTGTGGAGGTACCCTCTCTCGATGGCTTTTGGCCTACTCTTCCACACTGGCCAGCGCATCTCGCAAGAGGTGGGGGTTACCCCAGCGCACGCGACCTGCCGATGGGAGGCTACCTGTGGCCGAACCCACTCACGCTGCCGGGTGAACAGATGCATTGGGCGAGGGGGGGCAGGTGGCTGGCCGGGGGGGTTATGAAACTTGCTCCCCCGTTCCAACCGCCGCGCCGGGAGATTGGGGTCAAACCGGCGTGACCTCTGGATCGCGAGTCCGGTGGCGCTGCCGACCCGCTTAAGAAAATCTTAACAAACAAACAGAAACAATCGGCGTAATTTGATGTTAATTTGCGGTTGGGCAAGAGGCCCGGAATCGACATTCCTAGAGCCGCGACCACAGCCAAGACCTGAAGATGTCTACAGAGCCCGGCGTGAGCCACGGATGTCGTGGTGTTTGTGTCATCGGAGGTGCGGAGGAAGGATAACAAACGGATGGGTATCTGTGTTGAGTCTAAGGGTCTCCGAGTCTACGTATGTCGGTATGTGTGATGACTTCTTTCGCACCGTACGAAGCCAACCGTGCTGATCGGAGGTGCGGTGGAAGGAGAAGAAACTAAACACAAAAAAGCCATTCTAAAGCAGTGAGTGTTTAATCTGGATTTAAAAGTGCATCGCTCCCAGTGGCTTGCTAATATTGGAAGGAAGAGCGTTCATTGTAAGGTCGCACTCGTTACACGCAAAGTGCTTGCCACGATACCTCGCTGATCTCGTCAAGGAGCATAAACCATCATCAGGCCAACTCCTTCATCCTCGCAGTAGCAGCAGCAGCGGCAGCAGCGGCTTTTGACTGGCCATCGAACAAAGACGGTGGCCACCGCATCATCGCGCGGCGCTTTCAGATGCGCTTCTGCGGCCGTCTGGAATGCTCTTCCTTCCGATATTGGAAAGCCAGTGGTGCACTTTTAAAAATGATACAGATATAGATTGACAAAGTCATTTCTTTAGAACTGCTTTTTGTGTTTAGCTTGTTGTCCTTTTCCCCCCGCAGACATCTCCGCGTACGGTTGGCGATAAAACAAGTTCCACGCACGCACACACGTGCCGACATCCCAGACGGGAGACGGAACTGGAACCGGCGACCCCTGTCTGGATAGCGAGTCCAGCGCGCTCACCACTACAACTCAGCAGCAACCCCTCTGTTGGGGGCAGGTGTTAGAACCCCCCTTCCCCCCACTAACGGAGAGAGGGGGGGTGGTGAGGTGGTGGTGGTGGTGGTAGGGGAGGGGGTGTAACGGATGTTCCCGCTGCTCGCGAGACTCAGCGGCCAGCCGTGGAGGTGGTGGACGCTTCGCTGTAATTGGTTGTGACGGAACGGGCTGCCCTGCGGTTCCCAGGGCAGCCGTGTGAGCGCTGCAAACCCGGGGGGCGTGGCAAGAGGCGTTTTTAAAATGAATTCGTTGTATTTATATAAATATATAAATACGTGCGTCTAGGGGGAGCGGTGACGCAGCGGTTCGCGCTACGCTGCGCTACGAACCCGGCCGCCCGAGTTCGATTCCCGCTCACGGCCAACACCGGTGACAATTATCTGAACCGGTCCTGGGCCTCTCCTAGGTCGACACGGCCTCAAATGAGTACCCGGTGCGGTGGAGTAAACATCGCCACCGGGGAGACAAAGGAGGCCGGGCGTGGTGCTGACCACCCACCCTCTCGTGTGCTGTGCCGGCTTTCATAGGTGCTACTCGCTAACAGCACTTGCCCGAAGAGTCTGTTGAGGCTATACGGGGGATCTTTGTCTTTTGTGCTTGTGTGTGTACTTCACAAGTGTAATTCCTGCGCCGGTAAAGAAAGGCGTCTTCAACGACTGCACTGGCACTTTGCCCTTTTTGAGAATTTAATTTGGGGTCGGTGCAGGTGTGCAGGTGTGCAGGTGTGGGGGTGTCGGTGTGAAACCCCAGGTGAGACCCCAGGTGACTGAGACCCCAGGTGAGACCCCAGGTGACTGAGACCCCAGGTGAGACCCCAGGTGAGACCCCAGGTGACACGCCAGGTGATACCCCAGGTGACACCCCAGGTGACACGCCAGGTGACACGCCAGGTGACACGCCAGGTGACACCCCAAGTGAGACCCCAGGTGACACCCCAGGTGACACGCCAGGTGACACCCCAGGTGACACACCAGGTGACACGCCAGGTGACACACCAGGTGAGACCCCAGGTGAGACCCCAGGTGACACCCCAGGTGAGACCCCAGGTGAGACCCCAGGTGACACCCCAGGTGAGACCCCAGGTGACACCCCAGGTGAGAGATGCGGCGGAGCCCCACCGGTCCACACGTCCGAGTGGCGCGCGGACCCCGGCGGCGGGGGCGGCCGCCTCTGCTGGCGCCCGCCGACAGCGACGGTGGCGTCCGGGCCGCCCCGCTTGGCCGGCCTCGCCGGGGAGGGTCCCCCGGCGAGGCCGGCGAGGCTCCCCGGGGCACGGTGAGCGGCGGAGACGGGGTCCGGGGGGGCCCCGCGGTCGGGGCTCACGCGCTCCAGGGACAGCTCGGCCAGGTCGGGCCCCGGGGTGCGGACGCTGGCGCCCAGCAGCGAGGCGGAGCGCTTGATGGGGCTCGCGTCCCGGATGGGCTGCCAGAGGGTGGGAGAGACGGGCGGGGGGGGGAGTGGCCGTGGGGGGAGACGGTGGTGGGGGGGAGATTGTGGGGGGGGGAGACGGTGGGGGGGGGAGACGGTGGGAGGGGAGATGATGGGGAGGGGATGGGGGGGGGGGAAGACGGTGGGGGGGAAGACAGTGGGGGGAGATGGTCCGGAAAACGCCCAACGTCTGGGGACGATCGTGGGGGCTGTTGATGTCCATTGCCTGTACCCTGCACATGGTGCGGTGTGAAACCCCAGCTGATACCCCAGGTAAGACCACAGGTGATACCCCAGGTGATACCACAGGTAAGACCACAGGTGATACCACAGGTGAGACCCCAGGTGAGACCCATGGTGCAGGGTGCAGCACGCAGTTGCCAGCCTCTGAGAGGTGCATCGAGGATCGGTCCTATAGCGCCTGTGACGCCGTGGACTCCACCGGCAGCCAGGCTATTGGACGGGATCGAACTCGGGTCGCCGGGTGTGTAGTGCGGCGCGCTAACCGCTATACTGCCGCTCTGCTGACTGTGTGTGTGACCTCACACGCACAAACACGCTGTAGGTGACACACACTGTAGTTGACACACACACACTGTAGTTGACACACACACGCACTGTAGTTGACACACACACACACGCACTGTAGGTGACACACACACAGGAGGTGACACACACACACTGTGTGCGACTGACCACACACACAGGCAGACTCATCAGTCACACGCAGGCAAAACAACTCAAGCATCTCGGAATCTTCTTCAGCAGGAGTCGGCTTCTTTTTCTTTATCAGATACAAATACCAGAGAAAGGGAGATGCTCAAATATTTAAATAAATCGCCACTAAGATAACAGCGAAAACAAGATTGTGTAAACATCTGATAAGAGGGGGGAGGGCACCGACCACGACGGACGGCGCAGACAAATGTCCCCCGTGTAGCCTTGCAGCCTGCCTGGGGCAAGTGCTCGCCAGCGAGGCCAGAGCGGGTGGTGCGGTGTGGCCAATAGCAGTGGCGACGTCCGGTACATGCACACCGCACCGCACGCCCAGGCACTCATTGAAGGTCGAGTGGACCTAGGGGCGGGGAACCTTTTCTCTGCCAAGGGCCATTTGGATATTTATAACATCAATCGCTGGCCATACAAAATTATCAACTTAAAAACTAGCCTGTTATATTTGGTCAAACATTTAATTAACTCGCCCCTAACGCGATGGCTTTAATTTCGAGTCCCGCCTGCGGTTGCCTTGGCAGGGCCACACCAAATGACATTGTGGGCCTCATACGGCCCGCAGGCCCGACGTTCCACACCCCTGGCCTAAACGAGAAGGCCCCACTGAGCGATGTCGCCGGTTTCTACCAGAAGCGACCTGGAAACTCAACGAAGCGGCTTGGTCGTCGTCGTCGCGTGGAAATGTTTGTCAGCCAAATAACTCCAAACACGCAAGTGTGGAGGGGGGAAACCGGAGACAGATCCACGCCACCACGGGGAGGGAGAGGGAGGGAGAGAGGGGGATAGAGAGGGAGAGGGGAGTAGTAGTAGGTGGTGGTGGTGGGCGGCATACCGACAGTGCTGGGTGCAGGCCGGCCAGGAACGGCTGCTCGCAGAGACGAAGAGGAGGGAGGGGGACATGGGGGGGGGGGGGTAGAAGGGAAGAGGTGACGCTGTGGGTTACAGTGCGACTCGCTTCGCAGCATGACCATCGTGAGCACCGCATGACTGACATTGCCATGATCAAGTGTGACCCATCAGAATCGTCATCAGCACGCACCGTCATCATCATTGTAATGAAATAGCAATAGACAGACCGGAATGCCTGACATACAGACGCATGAATAGACATGACGGGCAGACAGACAGACAGACGGACAGACTGATGGACTGATGGACAGACTGTCCCATGGAGAGACGCACAGACAGACCCAGCAGACCGACTGATGAACAAACCATCCAATGGACAGGCAAAGCAGACAGACACGGACTGACACACCAACGAGATGGACAGGCAGACAAAAACAAACACGCAAACAGACGGACGGACAATCAGACAAGACCGACGGATGGACAGACGACGGATGGGTGGACGGAGTGGCGACGCCGTGCCGAGGTGGTGCGGCCGCAGGGGAGGGTCGCAGGGGAAGGCCGCAGGGGAAGGTCGCAGGGGAGGGTCGCAGGGGAAGGCCGCAGGGGAAGGCCGCAGGGGAGGGTCGCAGGGGAGGGTCGCAGGGGAGGGTCGCAGGAGAAGGCCGCAGGGGAGGGTCGCAGGGGAAGGTCGCAGGGGAAGGTCGCAAGGGAAGGTCGCAGGGGAAGGTCGCAGGGGAAGGTCGCAGGGGAGGGTCGCAGGGGAAGGCCGCAGGGGAAGGTCGCAGGGGAAGGTCGCAGGGGAAGGTCGCAGGGGAGGGTCGCAGGGGAAGGTCGCAGGGGAAGGTCGCAGGGGAAGGTCGCAGGGGAGGGTCGCAGGGGAAGGTCGCAGGGGAAGGTCGCAGGGGAGGGTCGCAGGGGAAGGTCGCAGGGGAAGGTCGCAGGGGAGGGTCGCAGGGGAAGGTCGCAGGGGAAGGTCGCAGGGGAGAGTCGCAGGGGAAGGTCGCAGGGGAAGGTCGCAGGGGAAGGTCGCAGGGGAAGGTCGCAGGGGAGGGTCGCAGGGGAAGGTCGCAGGGGAAGGTCGCAGGGGAAGGTCGCAGGGGAAGGTCGCAGGGGAGGGTCGCAGGGGAAGGTCGCAGGGGAAGGTCGCAGGGGAGGGTCGCAGGGGAAGGTCGCAGGGGAAGGTCGCAGGGGAGAGTCGCAGGGGAAGGTCGCAGGAGAGAGTCGTAGGGGAAGGTCGCAGGGGAGAGTCGCAGTGGAAGGCCGCAGGGGAGGGTCGCAGGGGAGGGTCGCAGGGGAGGGTTGCAGGGGAAGGTCGCAGGGGAAGGTCGCAGGGGAGAGTCGCAGGGGAAGGTCGCAGGGGAAGGTCGCAGGGGAAGGTCGCAGGGGAAGGTCGCAGGGGAAGGCCGCAGGGGAAGGTCGCAGGGGAAGGTCGCAGGGGAGGGTCGCAGGGGAAGGTCGCAGGGGAGGGTCGCAGGGGAAGGTCGCAGGGGAAGGTCGCAGGGGAAGGTCGCAGGGGAGGGGGCCACGGGGGATGGCCACGTGCCTCTGCGATCTTCACAAAGCGACAGGAACTCGTGGCTGGCCGCGCGATGGGGAATAACCGGTGCGGCACTCACGCGGCGTGCCTCTCTCTCTGTCTGTCTGGGGTAGGGTTAGGGAGGTAACATGCCTGAGCGTCGACGGTGAGACGGGGGAGGGAGGTGGCGCGGGCCTGGGCCTCCAGCGAGGCGCGGGGGTCTCCGGCGCAGGAGAGGGCACTCAGCTCGTACGTCTGTTGGGGGAGCGCCGTCAACATCGCAAAGCGGCGTCGGCACCGGCACCGGCATCGTTGTCCTCGTCATCATTGTCCTCGTCATCGTCGTCGTTGTCATTGTCGTTGTTGTACTCGTCATCGTCGTCATCGTCGTCGTCATCGTCGCTGTCATTGTTATCGTCATTGTCCTCATCGGTGTCATCATCATAGTCATCGTCATCGTTCTCGTCATCGTCGTCATCGTCGTTGTCTGCGTCGCCATCGTCGTCATTGTGGTTCGTTGTCCTTCCACCCCGCACTTCCGATTAGCACGGTTGGCTACGTGCGGTGTGGAAGAATTACAACATACATATGTAGTGGTGGTGCGCGCTGACAAGGAGGGGGCGTGTGTATGTGCGCGCGCCGGGCGTGGCTACATCGAGTGTGGGGGTGTTGACGCACGCCGACAGTGATGGATCACGGGGCGGCGCTGGGTGCGTGGTTGTGCGCGCAGACACGATATGGGAAACAGGATCGTGGGCAGCGTGCTGAGTGATTGGTCAACTGGGGTGTGTGCTCTCAGCGACGTCCGCATGAAGGACTATAAAGGGGGACGCGCAGGAGCACTCGGGGAGTTATTACCAGCTGAAGATTGAAGACGGAGTTGAAGAGATAGGGCCCTGAAACCCCTAGCCCCACTGTCCTTGTAAGGGCCGGGACCCTGTGCGGCTTCAGAGGCGAGGCTGTGGGACCCGAGGCCTGGCGTCCATGTGGGACCAGGCTGTGGGATCCAGAGTCGAGACTAATAACCCAGCAGGGTGGATTCCGAGAAGAGCCCGTGCGAGTGTAGCCAGGGGAACCTCGTGGGTTATGTGGCAGTTGCCACCCGTGTAATAGTTTGGTGTTAATAAAAAGGTGTGCTACCCGTCAGAGTCGTCTCCCGCCAAGTTACTACTTTACAAATACATAGACTCACACACAGAGACCCATAGACTCACACACAGAGACCCAAAGACTCACATGGAGTCCCATTGACTCACATGGAGACCCATAGACTCACACACAGAGACCCACGGACTCACAGAGACCCATAGACTCACACACAGAGACCCACGGACTCACAGAGACCCATAGACTCACACACAGAGACCCATAGACTCACACAGAGACCCACAGACTCACAGAGACCCACAGACTCACACAGAGACCCATTGACTCACATGGAGACCCAAAGACTCTCACCTGCACGGCGCCGTATCCGCTGAAGGGGGGCTCGATGCGCCGGCTCTGCCGCGTCCTCTGAACCATCTCCTGGGCCCGCTGGGTCACCCACGACACCGACGTGGTGAGCTCACCCCTGACACGGCGCGCCACAGAGACAAAGGTCCCCCCCCCGATAGCCTCAACAGACTCTCTGGGGGCAAGTGCCGTCGGCAGCAGCCTGCGCGCTGGATGTACCACACAGGACCCACCGTTGTGTCTGTCGACCGGGCGAGGTGCTGGCCACCCACCCCCTCGTGCGCCGTGCCGGCCTTCATTAGGCACTGCTACTCGCTAACAGCACTTTCCCCGACAGTCTGTTAAGACTACACGGGGGATCTTTGTCTGTGTGTTTGTCTGGTGCATCATCACAGCCAACCCACGGCCTCTTGGTCTGTCCCCTGACCTCCTGCCAGCGCCGAGCCTTCCACACTTGGCGTGGCCTCAAGCGCCGTGGTGACGATTGTTGTTATTGTGTGTACGTGGTGGTGCATCTGACAGTCATCTCAGTCAACCCATATCGCCTGTGGTCTGTCCCGTGACTTCCTGCCAGTAGTGAGCCTTCCACACTTGGCGTGGCCTCAAGCGCCGTGGTGACGTCACCGCCACTTAGTGGCGAATGGCGATTGTTGATGCTGTGTGTACGTGGCGGTGCGTCTGCCAGTCATCTCAGCCAACCCATGGCACCTGCTGGGTCTGTCCCGTGACCTCCTCTGACAGCGAGCCTTCGACACTTCACCTGGCCTCAAAGTGCACCTGGCCTGGCACAGGCGCCGTGGTGACGTCACCGCCACTTAGCGTGTGTGTCTGAGTGTCCGTTGCTCTCTCTGTGTGTGTTTGTGTGCGCGCGTCAGCTCACGGCTGCGTCTCTCCGTCGAGCAGTGGATGCTGGCCCGCCTGCATGTCCGGCCGGGCGTCCAAGCGGGGCGACCCCAGCATCCTCTGGAAGAGCGACGGCTTGCGGCTCTGAGCACGGGACACGGAGAGGGCAAAGACAAGAAATGTCGCCCCCCCCCCACCCCCCCTTACCACCACCGACGACAAAGATCCCCCGTGTAGCCTGTAACAGACTGTCGGGGCAAGTGCTGTTCCTGAGCACCTATGAAGGCCGGCAGGGCACACGAGGGGGTGGGTGGCCAACACCACCCCGGCCGCCTTTGTCTCCCTAGTGGCGATATTTTACGTATCACACCGGGTACTCGTTTGAGGCCGAGTCGACCTAGGAGAATCCCAGGACCGGTTCAGATAATCATCACCGGTGTTGGTAGCCGTAAGCGGGCCGTCGGGTTCGTCGGCGCCGCGCGCTAACCGCTGCGCCGCCACTCCGGCTTGGCCAATCGCAAAGAAGGTCACGAGGTCAAATCCATATTTGTGGGGTTCACTCGGCAAAGTCAACTTGTAACGTGCCACCACCAACACCCAGTATTCACTCAGTATTTACTCAGTATTCACTCAGCATTCACTCAATTTTCACCCAGCATTCACTCAGGGAGTGCTGTGTCCGACTGCAGCGACTGGGGGAGTGCCGTTTCTGACTGGCGACACTCTCCGCAGCTCTGCACCATCTGGGCACAGCTGCCTCCGGTGAGCTGTGCCCAGCAAAGTTGTCACCCCGACTCGTCTGGGAGGTGGGGGGGGTTCTACGGGGAGCGTCCACAGAGACCGACCGACGGACGGACGCCCGTGTGGACAGACCGACGTAATACGTCCCAGACGCAGCAACGAGCAGCTGACGAAGCTCTGCAGAGCACCCCGGCCGCTTTGGCGCCGCTCCAGAAAGTAAAGACGCGCCCGAACGTGTAACCCGTGTCGTCGATGAAGTTACACAGATCTACGTAGGCACGTTGAACTTCTTTCGCACCGTACGTAGCCAGTCGCGCTAATCGGAGGTGCGGTTGGGGGGGGAGACAAACTCAACATAAAAAGGAGTTCAAAAGAGATGAGTTTGTCAATCGAGACAATGACGATTCAAAAGTGGCCTCGCTCCCAGTGGCTTCCTCATATCGGTGGGCGTCGCGGGTCGCCGCAGAAGCGCTCCGTAAAGCGTGCGATGCGGTGACAAAACATGTAGTCACACACACAGACATGCGACCACAAACTAAACACTACCACACACACCTCAATACACCAATGATACACGAAAGCAAAGATCCCCCGTATAGCCTTGACAGACTGTTGGGGCAAGTGCTGGAGGTGGATGGAGGGGGTGGATGGAGGTGGATGGAGATGGATGAAGGAGGTGGATGGAGGTGGATGGAGGAGGGAGAGGAGGTGGATGGAGGAGGGAGAGGAGGTGGAGGGGTGCGCCTGAGGATGCCTGACGCTCTCTGAGGTTAAATACCAAACGCTGAACCCTCACATTTTTCGGGCTTCAATTCCCCCCCCCACTCCCTCTCAGCTCCCCTTGACGTTTTTCCGCCAGCTCCGCCGGCTGCGAGAAGAGAAGAATTAGCGACGTACGGCGCGATAGAAGTTGAACGTGCATACACGACATACTACACTATACGCTACACTACCCACTACACTAACTACTACAATACACTACTAGACTAAATTCAAGCAATTGTATTCTTGGGTCTTTCAGTAAAGTCACAGTTTCAAAGAAAATAATCAAAAATAACAAACAAAAAACTACGACGTTTTGATCGCAACGCATGCGGCCGTCTTCAGGAAGAGGGGGGGGGGGGGTCAGCTTCCAAAGCAAACTGTTGATAACTGTGAAAGTGCAAGTTTGAAATGGGCATAACTCACAACTAACATCGGATGTTAGTTGTGCTTCATGCCCCTTGGTTGCGGCTCTGCGATCTGCCATCAACATGCTCATCTCTCTGTAACACGCTCAATTTCACCTGGCAACCCTCTGATTGGTGGAACACGAACCACCGCCGGGCTCGCTGCCCACCGCTCACATTGTCATTGGCTGCTGACATTTGGGCGACGCCCATTTAAAACCCCGACAAACAGTTTGCCTTGGAAGCTGTTAACCCCCTTTTCCTGAAGACGACCTCTTGCGTTGCGATCGAAACGTCGTAGTTTTTTGTTATTTTTTTTATTATTTTCTTTGAACCTATCTACGTGACTTCACCGAAAGACCCAAAAATATGAATTCCTGCAGTCACGAAAGCTTTAAGTCAAAATTTAAGCAATTATTTATATAGAACTGTTGTTGTTGTTGAGGTTGTTATTCTTCCCCCGCACCTCCGATTAGCGCGTTTGGCTACTTACAGTGCAAAAGAAGTTCAACGCCGCCCAGAGACTCATCACACAGACTCAACACTGCCCATAGACTCAACACTACACATAGACTCAACACTGTCCATAGACTCAACACTGACCATAGACTCAACACTACCCATAGACTCAACACTACACATAGACTCAACACTACACATAGATTCAACACTGCCCATAGACTCAACACTACCCATAGACTCAACACTACCCATAGACTCAACACTGCCCATAGACTCAACACTACACATAGACTCAACACTGCCCATACACTCAACACTACCCAGACTCAACACTGCCCATAGACTCAACACTACACATAGACTCAACACTGCCCATAGACTCAACACTACCCATAGACTCAACACTACACATAGACTCAACACTGCCCATAGACTCAACACTACACATAGACTCAACACTGCCCATAGACTCAACACTACCCATAGACTCAACACTGCCCATAGACTCAACACTACACATAGACTCAACACTGCCCATACACTCAACACTACCCAGACTCAACACTGCCCATAGACTCAACACTACACATAGACTCAACACTGCCCATAGACTCAACACTACCCAGACTCAACACTGCCCATAGACTCAACACTACACATAGACTCAACACTACACATCAGAGGTGGGACAAAGTCATTGTTATGCAAGTCCAAGTCGAGTCTGAAGTCATCAAATTCATGACTCGAGTCTGACTCGAGTCCAAGTCACATGACTCGAGTCCACACCTCAGAGGTGGGACAAAGTCATTGTTATGCAAGTCCAAGTCGAGTCTGAAGTCATCAAATTCATGACTCGAGTCTGACTCGAGTCCAAGTCACATGACTCGAGTCCACACCTCTGCTACACATAGACTCAACACTACACATAGACTCAACACTGCCCATAGACTCAACATTGCCCATAGACTCAACACTGCACATAGACTCAACACTGCCCATAGACTCAACACTGCCCATAGACTCAACACTGCCCATAGACAACACTGCCCATAGACTCAACACTGCACATAGACTCACACTGCCCATAGACTAACACTGCCCAAAGACTCAACATTACCCATAGACTCAACACTGCCCATAGACTCAACACTGCCCATAGACTAACACTGCCCATAGACTCAACACTACCCATAGACTCAACATTACCCATAGACTCAACACTACCCATAGACTAACACTGCCCATAGACTCAACACTACCCATAGACTCAACACTGCCCATAGACTCAACACTGCCCATAGACTAACACTGCCCATAGACTCAACACTACCCATAGACTCAACATTACCCATAGACTCAACACTGCCCATAGACTAACACTGCCCATAGACTCAACACTGCCCATAGACTCAACACTACCCATAGACTCAACACTGCCCATAGACTCAACACTGCCCATAGACTCAACACTGCCCATAGACTCAACACTGCCCATAGACAACACTGCCCATAGACTCAACACTGCACATAGACTCACACTGCCCATAGACTAACACTGCCCACAGACTCAACACTACCCATAGACTCAACATTACCCATAGACTCAACACTGCCCATAGACTCAACACTGCCCATAGACTAACACTGCCCATAGACTCAAAACAACCCATAGACTCAACATTACCCATAGACTCAACACTACCCATAGACTAACACTGCCCATAGACTCAACACTACCCATAGACTCAACACTGCCCATAGACTCAACACTGCCCATAGACTAACACTGCCCATAGACTCAACACTACCCATAGACTCAACATTACCCATAGACTCAACACTGCCCATAGACTAACACTGCCCATAGACTCAACACTGCCCATAGACTCAACACTACCCATAGACTCAACACTGCCCATAGACTCAACACTACCCATAGACTCAACACTGCCCATAGACTCAACACTACCCATAGACTCAACACTGCACCTCCGATTAGCACGGTTGGCTACGTACGGTGGTAAAGAAGCTCAACACAGTACATGCGTCGATTATCCACATCCCGACCGTGTAGGCCTTGACTTTACCAACCACAGTGCGAATAACAAAATACTTTTCTCGAAAGAAATTTGGTAGATCAAACCAAGAAGAGACATGAATTCAGATTAAAATAATATAGGGACAATAAACACATTCACATCGGCCAGATATTCACTTTAGGCTTCCTCGACAAACGCAATAAAAATAATAAATCCCTGCTGGTTAACGTCAAACGATCCCTGCACGTGGTGGATGGTCTGGGGTGGGGGGACACGGGGGGTGGGGGGGATCACGTTGGGTGGGGGGACACGGGGGGTGGGGGGGATCACGGGGGTGGGGGGGATCACGTTGGGGGGGGGGGGCACACGTGGTGAGAGGGGGTGGGGGTCAGTTTTTGAGGTTCAGGTATTTCTCGCTGTTCAACTCTGAACAGCTTTTCCCGACATATATTTTGTGCGAGTTAAAGTTGTATTTATAATTCCTCTCCTACTCCCATCCGGAGTCGGATTTCCTAGCAGCTACATGGCGAGAATGAGTAAAAAAAAAAAAAATCACTCGCTCTGCGTGTGTGTGCACCGCCGTCGTTAGGACGACGTCGTGACGCCAACGTTAGGAGATGATCCCAACGTTAGGACGACGTCGTGGCGACGCCAATGAATGGAGACGACGCCAACGTTAGGGGACAAGGTGACGTCACGGTTCAATGTGGAGTTATTAGCCTGAGAGCCCCAT